GACGCGGGGCTTGACCCTAGGACCCCAAGATCATGACTTGAGCCAAAGGCAGATGCTTAACTGACTGAGCCACCCAGTTGCCCCTCAGACTTATCTTCTGGAAAGCTTCCCTGACCTAGTCTTTCTCACTCATTGCTTGTATTTTCAGCCCTTGGCATGTAGCAGATAGTCAAAAACTTATTTGAACGAAGAGTAATATAAAGTCAGTACACAAAGGAAACATCAAAACCTTTACATAATTGATGGTGATATACTACAAATTTAGTTCTGAACTTCCTGAGCAGCCAATGAACTAAAGGAAGTTACGTCAGTTACGTAATAGACAGCATTCACAAAATAGGAAGTATTTAACTTTTCTTGGTCATGAGAGAATTCAAACAGGAAGTGATCACTCACTAATATCATTAAATATTTAAGTAAAACAATTTATATAATGCAAATTCTTCAGAGTTATGTCCAGGCTACTCAGTTATTCAAGAACAGGAGTTGGTACACCAGGAGCCAAACTTGGCCTGCCACCTGTTTTTGTATACAAAGTTTTACGGAAACACTGCCATGACCATTTACGCAGTTACTATCTACGGCTGCTTTCCTGTTATGATGGCAGAGCTGAGTATTTGTGAAAAAAATCAGATGACCCAAAAAGGATAAAATATTTACTATATTTTTTCCTTTATAGAAAAAGTTTACTGGTCCCACCCCCATGTCACATCATGTATGAAAATTAACTCAAATGGATCTAGGATGTAAATCCCAGAGCTAAAACTATAAAACTCTAGTAGAAGGACACATAGGCATAGCTCTTTGTAACCTCGGATTAGGCAGTAGTTTTTAGATATGAGATAAAAAGCACAAGCTACAACAGCAACAAAAAAACCAGACTGAGCTTCATCAAAATTTAAAAATTTTGTACAATGGGGCACCTGGGTGGCACAGTCAGTTAAGCGTCTGACTCTTGGTTTCGGCTCAGGTTGTGATCTCAGAGTCATGAGATCGAGCCCTGTGTCAGGCTCCATGTTGGGTTAAGAGCCTGCTGGGGGTTTCTCTCTCTCTCTCTCCCTCTGCCCCTCCCCCTCACGCTCCCTCTCACAAATAAATAAATCTTTAAAAAAAAAAAAATTTGTGCTTCAAAAGACACCATAAAAAAAATAGAATGACATTCATAGAATGAGAGAAAATATTTACAAATCATGTATTGGATAAGGGACTGGTATCCAAACAATTACAACTCAATAGTAAAAAGATAACCCAATTAAAGAATAAGAAAAAGATGCAAATACACATTTTTCTTTTAGAAAATGTACAAATGGCCAATAAGCATATGAATAGATACTCAACATCATTAGTCACCAAGGAAATGCAAATCAAAACCATGAGATACCATTTCACACCCACTAGGATGGCTATAATCAAAATAGATTATCTAATAACAAGTGTTAGAGAGGCTGTGGAGAAATTAGAATCCTCAGAAACTGCTGGTGGGATTGTAAAATGGTGCAGCCATTTTGGAAAACAGTATGACAATTCCTCAAAACGTTAAATAGTACCCTCTGATCCAGAAATTCTACTCTCACAGAAATAAAAGACATATCCACATGAAAACTTATACACAAATGTTCACAGCTGCACTATTCAGAACAGCCAAAAAGTAGGAACAAGTCCCATGCCCATCAACTGATAAATGGAAAAGCAAATGCAGTGTATCTATACAAGGGAATATTATTTGGCAATAAAAAGAATCAAGTATTGGGGCGCCTGGGTGGCTCAGTTGGTTAAGCGACTGCCTTCGGCTCAGGTCATGATCCTGGAGTCCCTGGATCGAGTCCCGCATCGGGCTCCCTGCTCAGCAGGGAGCCTGCTTCTCCCTCTGACCCTCCCCTCTCTCATGTGCTCTCTGTCTCTCTCATTCTCTCTGTCTCAAATAAATAAATAAAATCTTTTAAAATAAAAAAAAAAAAAAAGAATGAAGTATTGATACTTGCAACAGTATGGAATAACTTTTTTTTATTAATATTTATTTGACAGAGAGATAGCGAGAGCAGGAGCACAAGCAGGGGGAGTGGGAGAGGGAGAAGCAGGCTTCCCGCAGAGCAGGGAGCCCGATGCGGGACTCGATCCCAGGACCCCGGGATCATGACCCGAGCCGAAGGCAGACGCTTAACGACTGAGCCACCCAGGCGCCCCGCAACAGTATGGAATAACCTTGAAAACATGCTAAGTGACAGAACCCAGTCACAGAGAACACATATTGTATGATTTCATTCATATGAACTGCCCAGAAAAGACAAATCTAGAATGTAAGTTAGTGGCTGCCAGGTGCTAGAAGAGGGGAATAGGGAGTGACCTCTAAAGGGAACAGTTTTTTTCCCTGGATTGATGAAAACTGACAGTGGTTACCCAACCTTTGGATATAATAAAACCACTGAATTGTTCACTTTACATGTGTGAACTGTATGCTATGTCAATTATATCTCAATAAAGCTGTTATCAAAAAAGGGAAAAAAAGTTTACTGATCCCAGTTCTAAAATATCTTCCTGCAAACCATTCAATAAAGGAGCCAGTACTTGTGCTGTTCTTATACAAATAATTTAACTGTAAATATAGTCACCTTGATAAAATTTGTCCCTCATGTATTTTGAAGGACAAAAATTACTAAAGAGCTCGAAGTCAACTCCAGTACATGTTTAAACAGCTAAAACATTATCTAAATCATGTAATATTGAATATTACAACTATGGGTACCCAACTCTAGCTTTAAGAGAACTCAATATTAAATATCAATATTCATACTTTTATGGACCCTTTCTACAGACATTCAAATGTACTCTCCCTCATCAACCCTTGTGATGACAGACTGTTAACTTTATTCCCAAAGTAAAATTGTTTCAGGGCCTATGTCACATTCTCAATATCCAGATCTAGAGATGAGACAAGGAAAAAAACCTAAATCCAGATTGTTTTTTTTTGTTTTTTCAATTAAAGATTTTATTTACTTACTTGACAGAGAGAGAGAGACAGCGAGAGAGGGAACACAAGCAGGGGGAGTGCGAGAGGGAGAAGCAGGCTTCCCGCAGAGCAGGGAGCCCAATGCGGGGTCTAATCCCAGGACCCTGGGATCATGACCTGAGCCTAAGGCAGACACTTAACGACTGAGCCACCCAGGCACCCCTCCAGATTGTTTTACTGATGTAAAATCGACTCTGGAAGTGGGGGCTCGGGAAGCCTCTGAGTCCTGACACATTTCTCTGAGGTGCTGCTTCAAGCGCTAGCACAATGAATGCTTCAGTGAGCACTACTTCTGCTGAAACTGAGTTAATAATAGGAGACTGACTACACCTGTGTCTGGATGGAATTCTACTTAGAAGTACTGTTTTAACACGTTCCTGGTCTACAAACGGGACTATGTTTCCAAAGAGCATCTGGTCATCTCCAGATTCTGGACGAAAGATCTCCTTGCGGAATGGAGAGGCTGTTACACTCACGTGCCTGTGTGGACTTACTTCCCAAAGTGGTGTATCCTTACTAACAAAGGCGTGGGGTGCGTAAGAACACAGATCACCATCTCCCCTTCACTAGCTGCTTCCACGGGCCAATCCTCACAGTGTCAAAGTCTAACCTAATTATCTTCTGTCAAAACTTAACACATACTTTTGTTCTTTCTTCAAGGAAGGTAAACAGTTTAACACCATAATCCAAACACCGTCTTAAGACTTCTCAATTCCAATACAGGCTTCTCCAACTATAATTTTTCTCAAAGTAGTAATATAGAGCAACAATTTCAAGTACGTCAATCTTCCAACTTTCACATCAAATCATGTCCTTATCCTCACCATCAGACTTTGGTAAACTTCATGAAATCAATATCAAAGTAACAGAGCTTAAATAATTTCTTTCTAAGGACCTATTTTGTGCTCACCTTTGGACCTATTAGTTTGTCTGCGGTCATTTTAGCAAAAAGTTCCGCTGTTTGGGCTCGAACCTGTGGATGTGTTGAATTGCAGAACATATCTAGTAAGTAAATCAAAGCTCCTATGAAGGAAAAAAAGAATTAGCACTTATACTATAAAGAATCTATGACTTTTCTGATCAGCTGAATTCATTTTCAACTTTATGTCAACTTAATGCAGTTTGTTTGTTTGTTTTAATTATAAGCCTTACAAAGCCTTTTTCTAGTTTAGCAGACTACACAAAACAGTTCAAAATAAGCTTCACTTACTTTGAGCATGACTGGATGAGAAAGCACTCTATACGTTACCTTTTGCCATTGCTTCTTTGATTATTTTTGTGCTTGATGTCAAAGCATAAAGAGTTTCTAAAACAAGCTGGCGACCTGCAGGGTAAAAGATATTTCAAGGAATGCATCATCAACACATTAGCTGACATTTACTGGGCATCAGCTCTGTGCCTGGCACTGACCTAGGTGTTCTACAGAGGGTATCATACTTATCTCTTCACAATAACCAGTGACAGGTATTATCATGGCCTTATTAGGAATGAAGAAGATGAGGCCCAGTTTAACCAGCCCATGGTATCATAGCTAGTGAGTGGTATAGCTAGGTTTTACACAGAGGTCTTTCTGACTCCAAACTTCACACTCGTAACCACTGTGCCACATTGTCTTTCTACCTTATTGTTCACTACACAGGCAACATCTTCTCACCTCCTGGAACCACCCTGAAGACACTGGTCAGGCATCAAAGATTTTTATCTGGTGCTACGGCCTTAGAGAAGTGAGTAGGAAGCAGCAGTTGTAAGACAGTGCTCCAATCTAAGACATGACAGTACCCTTCTGGACAAAGCCTACACACCTCTCATCCCTTGCCATCAAAGTATACTCAGCTATTGGACTTTACTCCTCCAGAGTCAACGAGCAATGACAGACAGGTGACCAAAGGGGTAAGAACTGGCAAAGAGGGTGGAGGCTGCCAAATATTAGGCTGATGCTGAAGCAACAACAAAGGCAGGTCCCTGGGCTGGGCTCCATTCACATACAGCAAAACACACATTCAAAAGGAGGTTCCCAAGAGAAGCAACAATACTTTACTGAAAATGCACCACTGTTTAAACATAGTTTCAAAGGAAAACAACAAGTCTTTGGAGGGGGTACAGGAAGGTTAAATATTTTATGTGTTTAATATCCCTTAGCAAATAGTGGAAGAGAGATAATTTAGTCTAAAATATAAATGACAGCAGAGTAGGCTGAGATAGCTAGATGTCAGCTATTTAACCTATAAGATTAAAATAGTGACTGGACTATAATTTTCAAACTATGATTTTTGTAACATTCTTTACTTCATTAGTCAGTGTAATTTTGCATTGTTTGAAGCCTCACAAAGCTACTGAAAACCAATAAAAAAGAAAAACCAACTAAGGCTGTAAGTATGACACAAATAATCTGCAAATGACTTTTCAAAAGCTGTCATTTTAGAGAACTGTTTCAAATGTCATTTATTAAAGAAAACAAAATTATTCAATGGAAATTCAACTCCCTTCAAGTCACTGAACTTGCACTACTTGCGTGCAAGGCACTGAGGCATAAAATGAAAGAGACAGGTTCTTGTTCTCAAGGAGGTAGATAGGTGTGAGTCAAGAGCAACACGGCTTCCAGAGCCAAATGAATAATGTATTCTGATAGGCAGTGGTGAAGTTGGAGCTATACTGCAATTGCCCTTGAAAAGCAATCTCAAGGTTGATTGTAGCACAAATACACACTACTTACTACGTTAGACAATTGCACAGTTTAAAAGGAGTCTATATCAGCGCAGGCTATATTCAAGAAATAAGATAGGTATATTTTTAAAAACTGATCTCACCTTGGTGGTAATAATCTCTATCTGCATCAAATCAGTAAAGGACAAATAATGCAGGATTGAATTCTAAGTTGAAAACAAGGTAATTTTTATTTTAAGCATTTTTTCCTGTCATCCAAGACCAGTTATGTTTCTTTATAAACCATGGGTCAATTCTCAATTACTCATGTGCATACCATACTCAGAAAATGGAAAAACCTAGGTTATTTTCCTTTGCTTTTGGACCTCTCTTACCTCTTTCAACTTTTGAAATGGGAAATACAAAATAGTGTTACTGACTGATGTAAAACATAATTAGGAAGGCAACTTTAATATAAAGAATACCACTTAAAAGATTCCAAAGTAAATACGGATATCATGTTTTATCAGAGGTCTTCTGTTCGCTATGTAACTGCTCCCTCTATAGGTTGGCCATGCTATGGTTTCCAAAATTCCATTCATGAAATATACATACTTGATGGTAATGAATGTAGAAGAGCCAATAAATTGGACAAAACCATTGATTCAGCAATATTGTTGACACAATCCTGGTTAGATGTCACTATATTCACAACCTGAAAATTAAATCAACAGGATTTTAAGAGTTTGGGAAATAATTTTGGACCTAAATAAAATTAAGTCCAGTTAGTCAGACCTAAATAAATTTGAGGCTTCACAAAAGTGAAAAAAAATGTTTGGAGGACAAAATAATTTTTAAGAGTTTAATTTTAAAAGATAGGGCCTTATTACTTTGATCTTTTGTGAAATAATAAAAATAATTAAAAATGTTAATGCTCATGTACATATTATATATATTAGCTTCCTGTCAATTTAGAGATAAGAACTAAATGTAATAATCTAAAAAATATTTTAGAAATAAGTCACAATGTCGAGGTTATTAGGAATCCTTCAATCCTATACTGGTTCATGCTCCCTAACTATGTATTCCAATCACAGAACTGGGGTGGGGGGTGGTTAGGAAGATAATGATCCTCACTACTGGGACTTTACTTTTGCTTTTAGAGGGAGAGAGTAAATGTCTTCAGTGCCCAGCACAACAGATTTAGTTTATCTATTATAAAGAAACAGGCATGTTTTTCTTTCAAAGAGGATGACCTCTCAAGTCTAACTTTTATAGTATACATCTAAAGATCAATGTCACTTAACTTGAACCACATGGTCAGCATCTCAAACCAACACGTTAGATTTAATAACGTTCATTTACAAAGTTATAAGGTACGTGGAGAAATTAAGTAGAGAAATGCTTTTCAATTAAAAGAACATGCTTGTTAAGCTTTTTGACCAATCTAACTTGTATTACTTTATTAAAAATATATTTTTAATTTTTTATTGTTATGTTAATCATCATACATTACATCATTAGTTTTTGATGTAGTGTTCCATGATTCATTGTTTGTGTATAACACCCAGTGCTCCATGCAATCTTTTAAACCAAAACGCAACCTAAGAACATATTACTCAACTAATTCATAAACTGCTCATAAACGTGTTACTGCAGCGTTTAATTTGGTGTTCTTTACAATAAATTGTGTATGTTACAATTAGCAGGATAGGGGCGCCTGGGTGGCTCAGTTGGTTAAGTGACTGCCTTCAGCTCGGGCCATGATCCCAGGGTCCTGGGATCGAGCCCCGCATCAGGCTCCCTGCTCAGTGGGAAGCCTGCTTCTCCCTCTCCCGCTCCCCTGCTTGTGTGCTCTCTCTCTCTCCCCCATGCTTTCTCTCTCTCAAATAAATAAATAAAATCTTAAAAAAAAAAAAAAAATTAGCAGGATCATCTGAAAAATGATCCTGGGAGCTTACTCTGGGTTGCCTAGACAAGGAGACCCCTGTAGCCAGGGACCTCCTGCTTCTCCCAGAGGAAAAGGCAGTACCCAGCTTCCCATGGGACCAGGGGTTTCATTCTCCTAAAAAAGGGACTTCCAACTTCTCTTGGACCTCTAAAGCCCGAAGGTTCTGGGCAGCTGGCTTTCTTTCTTAGCTCCCGTAAACAGCATAACAGCCCAGTTGTCTGTCTGTAACCCTCACTGAAGGGAAGGGGGTAGGTTGTCCTCTAAACACAAACCTACAGTCTGTGGCCAGCAGTATGCCCTGGTCTCTGGGGACTGTGAGATCAGGGAACTCCTACCCCTCTTCTTGTCCTCTCTGGCTGCCAAGCTTCCCCAGTAAAGCACCCCCTTCACCCACACTGCAGGACATTACACAATGCACCCCAAGTTCTGATGCATGACACACAACGACCACACAGGGAACCACTTGGAACAACACTGTGTCATGTTTGCTCCTCAAAATGAGTATACTAATTTAAATTTTAAGAACATATTTACTTGGCTTAATAGACAAAATGAAGGAAAAAAAAGAAAATACATGCATACTTTCATTCAACCCCAGATGGTAGTTAATCAAGGCCTAAACCACATATAGGAGTAAAGACAGCATACTTTAATATAAAATTCCTCTACCTCTAAAGCCAATTGCTGCACTTGACCCGCTCCATGGACTCGGAGAAGAGAAAATATTAACTTAAAGTGCCCAATGCATTCGCTTTCAGAGCCTAGGGAATAAGAATAAAAGGTTTATCTTTTATTCCTAAGAGATGTTCTAAAGTACAGACCTTCAGAAAACTGATCTACTCTGTTGTTTACTGTCAATTATAAGTCTCTGTTAAACCCTTTCTCAACATTTGTGACATGAAATAAATGGAGTACCTCCTAAGCAGCAGTAAATCTTAACAGACAAAAAGCAAGATAGAATTTCTTTGTTTCGTTTTCATTTCCATCCATACCCCTAGCCCTCAGGCTAAAAACAAGAAATATACCAAATACATAATCCAAATGCAACTTAAAAAATAAGGGTACAAGGTAGTAATTCTACTCTTTACTCTAGACCTTAGAGCTACCCCCCTCAGCCTAATTACATTTTGGGAGAGTGTGACATCATTTGCTTTTAATTTAGACTGAATTAGAACTCTGCCACTTGAGGACTACATTACAAACAACTGTACGGATATACAAAGGACTCCTTGTGAAAATACATAAAACTGAATAGTATTTCCATTCCTACCCACCTCAAAACCCAATCCCATATATTTCCTACCATTCTGTTAATAGAATAAAAATATTAAACATTAAGACTCTGTTCTGTGTATTTTTCCTTTTACAACATGGTAGTAACACACACAGTGTAATCTGTAATTTTTTGAGGCTTCAGAAGATAATTCACTAAGACTCCTCAAAGGAGTCTGAAAATATCCTATAAATAGATTGCTTTTAAATTTATTTTCAAACCACTATAGCACTGAATATATACAGAAAAGAGCAAAAGAGTACCTGAAAGTTAATGATAAATGTCAATAAAAAGGATTTGGGGTCTTCAAGTTACTTAACCGAATTTGTATTGTTTTAGGTTTTTTATACTCCATATTTGTTATCAAAGTTAGAATTAGAAGAAGCTTTCAAATTTTCACTCATGCATCTCCCTGCTGTCAGGCAAGAGTGGTTAACATTTTTGGAAATGTCCTCTTAAGGCTGTTTAAGAATGAAAACTCACACTTTATTTCAATTTTTATACACCAAAACCTGCAGTTTCTCAAAAATATAAGTGCCCATATGTACACAGCACTGTGTTAGATACCAGAAGAGACAAATTAGATCACCTAATAAATCAACCTAACTTAAGCACTTATATGTCAACTTATGTCATCAATGTGAAATTTTACACTATCAAGTTATTCTGTCTTTTCAACTCATTGAGACTCATTTTCTCTTAGAGATATGAATTCTAAACATGATGCCTTGACCTCTCTCCTCCTTCCACCCTACTCTTTTTATAGGTAAAAAATTAAGAGCTCAATTCTTGTTACGTTATACTATTTTCTTTGAGTCTCTCTGATAAAATTGAGAATTGGAATTATTGTAAGGATCTTATTGATTAAGGGTAGTGATCAAATCCACACACCTGGATTGTATTTTATGACATTTCTCAGAGCCTCCAAAGCCATTTCCACTCTTGGCAAGCGGTCTCCATGTTGCTCTGACTCCACTTTTGCAGCATGTGTGATAGCCATGAATGTGTGGAGGTACTGGGCTTGGGAGCCTATATAATCCAAAAGACTTGCAGCAAATGCTTTTGGAACCTAAGTGGAGAAATATTTACAAACATGTGTGCCCTCAGAAGTAACTATAAGACTCCAGAGCAACAACCATCCCCTTCCCCCCAAAAAACTTCAAGGTATGGAATGATTAAATTATACATATACATGGGGTGCCTGGGTGGCTCAGTTGGTTAAGCGACTGCCTTCAGCTCAGGTCATGATCCTGGAGTCCCAGGATCGAGTCCCGCATCGGGCTCCCTGCTCGGCGGGGAGTCTGCTTCTCCCTCTTACCCTCCCCCTTCTCATGTGCTCTCTCTCTCTCATTCTCTCTCTCAAATAAATAAATAAAATCTTAAAAAAAAAAAAATTATACATATACATGAACACCTATGGATTTGGGGGCGGAAACTCAGTTGCATTAGAAAGCATTTCTCAACTTTTTTTGTCCCAAAACATTAGAGATCTGATATACTCCCACCAGGACCTTAGCATATCAATTCTGAATTAGTATATCTCTCCCTTTTACAAATCAAAGTAATTGATAGTACCATATGTAACTTCTACAATTTGGTTATATTTTAAAAAATATATATTTAGAATATAAATTCGAAGGACAGTTTTCAAAGAGACTTCACAAATCAATGAATTCATCCTGCTTAACAGCTATTTATACAATATTATTCTGTGATACATAATATACATTATGGTTTAGTAGATTCCTTTTTTCCCAAGTGCAAACTTTAAAACAAAGCCTCGCTGGGGCACCTGGTTGGCTCATTTGGTTAAGCGTCTGCCTTCGGCTCAGGTCATGATCCCAGGGTCCTGGGATCGAGCCCCACATCGGGCTCCCTGCTCAGTGGGGAGTCTGCTTCTCCCTCTGCCTGCCCCGACACCCTGCTCGTGCTTTCTCTCTCTCTCTCAAATAAATAAAATCCTTAAGAAACAACAACAAAAACAAAAGCCTCACTTCTTCCCTCTTTACAAACCAAGCAACCACCAAATCCTCCTTGCCACTCCCTCCAAAAAAAAAAAAAAACTACAACAAAAAATTCCTACATGATCACCAAGCTCTAGAAGACAAAGAAGCTCCTCTTTTGCTTCTGAAAGTGATTAGGGATCATCACAAGAAACGACATGATTTGACCTCATTTTCTAAAAAATCTCTTTGTTTTCCACTGGTATTTTCTTATTTTCCTCTAATAATTGGCCAGAGAAGTACTTCTGTCTGGTGGTCTGATATTGTACATGATGGAATGAATGTGTAAATGACCTTGCCCTTCCAGGAGAGACAAGTTGAAGGCATATGCACATGACAACAGGTAGCATTATGCATAAAATATAAAAAATAGTTGGGTAAGGAATAACTTATTTTCATGAATCCACAAAACTAAATTCTTCAACATGCAAAATAAAAAGGCTTATAAATTACCAATGGTAAACCCCAGGTATACCCAGGTTAGTATAAAGCATTTGGCAAAGAACACACATTATTTCAACTTCTTCAGTGTGAATAAACTAGTAGCTTTCAATAACAAATGACTGAAGGTATCAGACAAAACTAAAAGTAGAGAGCTTACCTCCAATTGGAAAGTAGGGACTTCATTATAGACCCTAACAAAAATTTCCCCTACAATAAGTTCTTTGGCATGATCGCTATAGACAAATTCTGATCCGTAAGTTTTGTCACAATCACCCTTTTTAAAAAAGAAAATAGACTGTTAGATGTAAATCAGAATCATCAGTGTCTGGTTTATAAATCTAACCATATTCAATTTAATAACTTAACAGATAAATAGCCTGGAAGTTCCATTTCTTATCTAGAGGAAAACTGTGGTGGGACGCACATCATACTCAATGCTGTATTAATGCTTACAACTAATAATATGAACTCTGCAATAGGCATGGAGTTATTTTTAGTCCAAAGGTTAATATTATACCTCATTTTAAGATTTCAAAAGATCACAGAGGTCATCCAATGAAGTGTCTTAGAGCTAATGTTTATAAAGCAAGTATGACACTTGGTTCTTCTCACTCCACTCAGCAGACATTTGGCCTAGTCAGCTCTGGGGTGATGGAGCTAAGAAATGAACACATCTGGACTGACCTTTAAAAAGTAATACACTGAATCAAAGTGCTAGAAAATGGAGTCTCTGAAGGAAAAAAAAAAAAAGACATGGTAATATTACAGAGGTTGCCAAACCAGGAAGAGTTTCCATTTGAGGAAAAGGAAAAAGAAGAGGAATGGGAAAAAAACAGTACCAATGAAGATTTAGGTTGAAATTACACAGAATTTAAGTTGGACTGAAATGATACAGAAAAGTATACAATAAATTGTAAAGTGTTAAAGATGCTATTATGTTTCTTCTGGTAAAAGAACAGATGTATAAAAATGTGAGACCTGTTCTCCCCAGCTCTGCAATTCTCAATCTATACAGAGTTCTGAGTGACTATCATCAAATGAGTTAAAAAGAAAAAAATGTTGAATAATTCAGGACATAACAGTGGTGTTTATTGTTATAAGTTCTAAGCCCATAAACGTTAACTGTCTGCTAAACCATCAAGTCTCAACCATCTACTGTATGGATTATGCAGGCCTTATCCTTATTGGCCACAGTACTGTCTTGTTTTTTTTTTCATAGCTTCATAGATTCTCCACTAGGAAGTGGCAAGACAGGAGAAACTGTTCGATTCTGATACCAGAAAGCAACTTCGATGTACTGGGAAAAGAGGCTGAAGAGAACAATTACAAGAGTGCTTTTGTAGAGAAAAATTCATTAAAATGGGGAACAGCTACACGTAAACAGGACAACAACAATCACGAATGTATCATTAAGTACAAGAATGCTCTTCCTTACATGGGCCTCACATTAGGTGGAAAAACCTGTAGGCCAGATTAACACCAAATGGAGAAACAAAACTTGTAGGCCTGATTAACACCAAATGGAGAAACTGTCTTGTCACTACTGAGTTATGTTCCCAGAGAATATTTTTTTGAGACTAAGTCACCCCAGAAGTTTATGAAACAATAACATACTTTTTTAATCATGTTTTCTTGTTGGGATTCAAGAAACTCAAGTAGTTCTGCTCTTGTAGAATTGTTCCATATCAAATAAGGGCTCTCAGTGTTGCTGTTGAGCATCTTCAGAATCTAGGAAACAGAGATTACTGTTTTGTAACATTTAGAAAAAAATAGTGCAAGTTATCATTTATTGAAACTGTTGATGACATGCCAAGCACTGGAATAAGTGCCTTAAGCATAATGGGCCTCAATAACTCCAACAAATTTGTTGATATTATCCATTTCACAGCTGAGAAAAATCAAAGCTAAGAGCAATCTAATGATTTGTCCCAGGTCACACAGCATAGCCCTTCAGCTGGGAAAACTGGGATTCAAATTGGAGTCAGTATGACGTCACATCCTTAACATGTAGCTCTGCTACAGTGAAAATTATCAGATAGTTTGTGCTGAAACATTTAATAAACACTCAGTAAACACAAGCTTAGAAAGAATCATACCATACTAACTTTACATAAACATATCTGAAAACAAAATCTAAGTCTCTCTGAAGCATACCGCTATGAAGGGAAGCAAAATTTATGGGCAGAGAGTCACTTCAGATTTTCTTGGCCAAACCCGGATTCAAGGCTGCATTAAGCAGTTATGAAGGCATAGCTTCTGACTGCTTAGCCATCCACGGTGCGGAATTTCCCTTTGTCTATTTAGTTCTCAATTAGAAGTGTGTAAATAGACATTTGACTCTCCTTCAAATGTTTTAATACAAAGTTCTGTACATTTTACACTTACAAAGCTCTATGCTAGCAGGGTATCAGTGGGTTATTACCTTCATCTTAGACAAAACCAATTAACCTGTTTTTAAAATGTTAACATTTTTAAAATGTTAAAATAAAACTGTTTTAAAATGTTAAGTAAAATGATAAAAGAATACATTCTTAGGAGGGATGCCTGCGTGGCTCAGTAGGCTAAGTGTCTGCCTTTAGCTCAGGTCATGATCTCAGGGTCCTGGGATCAAGTCCCGCATTGGGCTCCTTGCTCAGCGGGGAGTCTGTTTCTCCCTCTGCCTGCCGCTCCCCCCTGCTTGTTCCCTCTCTCTCTTTCTGACAAATAAATCAGTAAAATCTTAAAAAAAAAAAAAAAATACATTCTTAGGAGAATTTTAAAACTTTGAGAACTGGCGGTTTAAAATAAGCATTTTGAAAAATCCATATGGGAGTTCAGACCAAGATTCTGAAATGCTTTTTTTCCCTCCCTGTAGTTTATCAACAACCTGCAAAGAATGGAAAGAATGTCTCACCAGCAAAATACATCATGCTGGTGAACACAAAATTCAGAAAAAGTACAAAGATCAAGCATCTAACGCTCTTCGCCCTTACTCAAGGGGCACTGAAAAGCAATGGCCTACACCAAAAAAAGAGATTGAGTTAAAAAAAAAAAAAATTTAATAAATTCTAAGAATACTTTACATTTGGAACACTGAGGACTTCTTCCCTTACAAAAGTACGGGATAATCATTAGAGAAAACATAAAAATAGCCTACAATTCTGCCATTGAGGGATAACTACAGTTAACATATTCGTATAGATCCATCCATCCATTTTTTTAATACCAAAAATGGGATTTTTAGCCTTTTCACTTAAAATTTTTAAACATCTTTTAATATCTTTATGCCTTTACAATTTAAGGCTTCATGGTATTCTAATGAATGGATTTTTATAGTTTAGTTCTTTAATGCTACATTCTTAGATTACTTCGCAGTGATCCTCACAGAAGAGGCCAAAGAGGGCGCCTGGGTGGCTCAGTTGGTTAAGCGACTGCCTTCGGCTCAGGTCATGATCCTGGAGTCCCGGGATCGAGTCCTGCAT